TTGTATTATTTCTTTGTTATTTTGTTTTATTTTTTTTTTTTTTGGTTTTACCTCCGGTATTTCCCCGGAATTTGTGTTTCATCTCATCAGTTGATTAATATGTTGAAAAATTAAATTTAATTGATATAATCAATTCACAGAAATTGCACATTAATTAGCAGACAATTATTGTTGGGAATAAGGCGCATGCTTGGAAATTTTTATTATCAATTAATTGAGTTACAGTCATATTTATACGCTGTTAACAACAATGTTGAAGCTTCCAGTGACGTATGGGTCTTAAATGCTCCATAGCTACAAACGTAAAATATATCATAAATATTGCAAGCTTTATTGAGAAGTATTTTGCCTTGGCTGAGCTGACGTGGGAATCAATAAAAAAAGAATTGTTATGTAAATTATTATATTAAGAAGATTTTTATTCCACTTGCCATTTCATGTCAATATTGTCTTATTCGGTCAGAGCTGAAATTAGAATTAAACAATTGAAACCAGTAAGGAAAGTAGTAAAGTCGGACGGGGCCGACTATATGATACCCTTCACCACTTTAACAGATGAATCCTAACAGACGTCGCATTTTTAAAGGACCAGTAAAATGAAATTGGATCAATAAACATGTCATTCTGCAACCGATACTAAATTTTTCATTTGGTCACATATAGAATCTATATCTAAATATGAACCGATTTCAGGAAACTTAACACATATCATTCTAGACCTAATACATTACCCTATGCCAAATTTCGTGCATATCGAAAGGTATATTGGGACTTTGGTTGACCATTTACTGAACCGATTTTCAGGAAACTTAACACACAATTCATTACGATGTTCCAAATTTCGTGCAAATCGAGAGATATATAGGGACTTTGGTGGCCCATTTACATTAAATCGGATGAAAATATATATGGGAGCTATATCTCAATCCGAACCGATTTTTCCCAATTTCAATAGGGTTCATCCTTGGGCCAAACAAGTGACCTATGCCAAATTTCATCCAAATCGGATCATAAATGCGACCTGTACTTTGTTCACAAAAATACATGGACGGGCAGACGGACGGACGGATATGCATAAATCGACTCAGAAAGTGATTCTATGCATATTCTCAAAAGGAACCATGTGTCTATCTCGTTTCCTTTTGCCTGTTACAAACATATGCACAAAGACATAATACCCTGTACCGCAGTGTGGTGAAGGGTATAAAAAGGGGGTTAAATAGGGACTACCCCAAAAGGGGGTGAATATCGATAATTTTTTGTAGGAAAATTTGTTACCATATACGACTACAAAATACGAATTCGGTTGAAAAACGTGCTCAAGAACCTCAAAATAGCGAAAATTGGGGGTACCCTTATATGGGGGCTACCAGAAAAATTGGACCTATATTTATAATTTTTAGTGGAGATATTTGGCACCCAATAAGAACCAAATGTACCACATTTCAGCGTGTTCGGTTGAAAAACGCGCTCAAGAACCCCAAAATACCGACATTTGGGGGGTACCCTTATATGGGGGCTACCAGAAAAAATGGACCTATATGTATAATTTTGGAGAAATTGGGTACCCAATAGCAACTAAAAGTACTAAATTTCAGCGAATTCGGTTGAAAAACGCGCTCCAGAACCCCAAAATACGTAAAATTGGGGGCGTACCCTCATATGGGAGCTATGCCTAAACGTGGACCGATATATCCCATCTTCGAATTTGATCTGCCTGCAGACAAAAGACGACTCTGTGCAAAATTTTGTCGATCTATCTCAGTTCGTTTAGACGCTAGAGTGACGTTGGTTGACCATTTAAATTAAATCGGACGAAAATATATATGGGAGTTATATCTAAATCTGAACCGATTTTCAGGAAACTTAACACACATCTTTCTAGACCTAATTCATTACGATGTGCTAAATTTCGTGCAAATCGAGTGATATATAGGGACTTTGGTGCACCATATACATTAAATCGGATGAAAATATATATGAGAGCTATATCTGAATCTGAACCGATTTTTCCCAATTTCAATAGGGTTCGTCCTTGGGCCAAATAAGTGACCTATGCCAAGTTTCATCCAAATCGGACCATAAATTCGACCTGTACTTTGTTCACAAATATACATGGACGGACAGACGGACATGCGTAAATCGACTCAGAAAGTGATTCTATGCATATTCTCAAAAGGAACCATGTGTCCATCTCGTTTCCTTTTGCCTGTTACAAACATATGCACAAATACATAATACCCTGTACCACAGTGTGGTGAAGGGTATAAAAAGTGGTAAGTTCGGGCGGGCCGAACTTCGAATACCCTCCACCATAGGTATACTGACAGGTACTTGAAATAATAAATAAATAAATATTTCAGCTATTTTTAATGGAGATTTTTACTAAAAACCTCCAAAAAGTGGTCCGACAACACATGGTAGGGTGAAACATCCACAAAATGCTGAAATTTAGAGGACACAGCTATATGAGGATGAAAATTAAAAATGAAAATTGTTATTGCAGAAAAAAATTGTATGCGTACGTCCCTGGAGGCTGATTACATCGTGAGGGAATTACCAAACATTTGTAGCAATCATTATCTGAGGGGCTATGCCAGTTGAGGCCTGATATAGCTCAATTTCGAAAATAAAAGTATGGCATCACGATACCTTCCTTTACGCTAAATATTCAAATACCGTCATATAATTTTACTCCGATCAAGAATATATACATACTTTATTGGGTCCTACTTACTTAGCTGGCTTGTGACAGAACTTTCGTTCCATAAGCCGAACTTAAACAATTTTCCAGGCGCGTCGGTATTCTGTGCAGTTTTTCCAATTTTCCGAGATTGTATTCTACTTGATCTTTCCATCGGATTCGTGGCCCTCCCCTTCTGCGTGAACCATCACTTGGCTCACTTTTATATGCCTTTTGAGCTGAGGCATCTTTAGCCATTCTCACAAGATAGCCTAGCCAACGTAGTCGCTGCAGCTCGATTCGTCTGACTATATTGATGTCCAAGAATAGATGGTATACCTCATGGTTCATTCGACGGTGATATTCACCATCTCTCAAACACTCTAAGAGCTGCCTCATCTGCTTGCAAAAGTACCCATGCTTCAGATCCATACAACAGCACAGGTATTATCAGCGTCTTGTAGAGTGTGAATTTGGTCTGGAGAGAGGTGACATTACTTTTGAGTTGCTTACTCAGTAGCATCTGTTGGCCAAAACTATACTCCTCCGGAAAGCTGATGTTATTAGTTTTGTTTATGGCAATACCGAGGTATATAAAATCGTCCACTACCTCGAAGCTGTACTTTTCAAGTTCCATAGTTGATCCGAGTCTACTGCACGTCTTGTGCGTTGATACCATCAGCCCGGTCTTTTCGCCATTTACTGCCAGTCCCACTTTGTCAGACTCCTTTTCAATTCGTTCAAAGGTAGCTGTTACCGCTCGCAATGTTCGACCCATTATGCCGATGTCGTCGGCGTAGGCGAGTAACATGTGCTGTTTGGTGTACAGCAGGATATTAAACAGGTCACACGACAGACTGTCACCTTGTCTGAATCCTCGTTTGGTATTGAAGGGCTCCGAGAGGTCCTTTCCGACCAGTTAAAATTATCCTGCATAGCCGTATTAATTTTGCAGGGATGCCAAACCCATGGCTCTGAAGGGGTAAGGCTGTCGAATGCGGCTTTATAGTCGACGAGTACGTTGAATGTATCGGTGTGTTTTTCGTGGGTTTTTTCCAGTATCTGGCGCAGAGTGAAAATCTGATCAATGGTGGATTTGCCAGGACTGAAACCGCATTGGAATGGTTCAATAATGTCATTGATCATTGGCTTCAGTTGTTCACACAGCACATTGGATAGCACTTTATATGCGATGAGAAGAAGGTTAATTCCTCTATATTTGTCACATATCGCCGTGTTTCCTTTTTTGTGCACGCAACACAGGATGCTAAGGTTCCAATCATTGCGCATGCATTCCTCTAGCCAAATTTTACAAATAAGGGTCGGAAATGATTATTTCGATGAGGTACAAACGAGAAATCAAAATTACACTGTGCGACACGAAAAATTTTCAGGGGTTCTAATGTACCATTTCTGTTTAGTTGGAGTCCCTGGACCACGAATATAACTTCAATCATCAACCGATTTACCAAATATATATCTTGTTTGAAAGAAAAAATTCTACTCTTCGAATGAAAAAAAAAATAATATAAATCCGTTAGAAAGAAAATAAGTGAAAACCTATGAAACCACGTTTTTCTCTACATTTACCGTTATAAAACTAATTTTCGAAGTGACCCAGAAAAACCAAAGGTATATTCATGGTTCGGGGACTCCAACTAAACGGAATTGGTACAATAGAACACCTGAAAAAAATTGTATTGTATCACAGTGTTATTATACCATCCAAACTTAGGTGGAGGGTATAAAAAGGAATATTTGTCCAAAATATATATAGAACAAGGTCGATTTGGCCGAACTTTTTTAAGCGAAGATTTTTTAAGCTCCAAGAACTTGTAGTGCCAAATAACTGTCAGATCACATCTAAAATGGTATTAAAATCTTCAAAATATCGAAAATGGAGTGGAGGCTATGTGAAGCCCTCGAAATATACTGGAAATTTCTTGTGAAGATCTTTCGGTTGAAAAATCGATTTAGTATTCAATTTTATTTTATTCATGAATATATTTAAATTTATGGGGTCTTTATCCTTGGCCCTTCCAAATTCGTTATTGATTTTAAATAATTTGTCCTATCTTCATAGAACTTTTTTATTTTAATTCAAACTTACATGAATAACATCAAACCCCAATGACTACCACGTTTGTGCCTTAAGTCTTTTGATTTTTAAGCTAATCATTTTTTTCATATTTAGTTGTCATATCTATTTTACAATTTTATTACAATATACATACATACAACGCATAATATTAACATAAAATAATCATATTTATTTATTTTCATAATTTTTGCTCTTTTATCTTCTCGATCTCCTCAGGTTGGTCACATAAAAACCAAAAATAATGAATATTACATTGAGCCATCAAAACTTCATGCCGCAGCCCACAACGTTAACGGACATCCGCATGTTGTATTTCAAAGATCATCTGTTAAGGAAAAGGTAATTACTGAAATTTGCATTTGCATGGATGACGGCGGCGAGCGGACGATCGGGAGAGTGGCAAAGAGAGATAACAACGAACGACAACTGTTTTTAGGTGGGCTGGCTGTAACTATGAATGAACTAAAGCGAAAAAAGTAAAGCAAATAAAGACAAAGACAGACACACAGACATCGAAAATGTAAGCCAAATATTCACTGGTGGCATAGAAGGCAGGAAGACAACCAGTCGTATAATGACCAAGTTGGCAGACATAGAGACAGACAGCCAGCCAGCCATTTGGACAGACAAATAGATGCTCTACTAAAACAGAATGAATGGACTACTAAATCCAGTTAAGAGACAAACCATATAAACATCTAGACAAATTACTGCAACAGCAACAACAACCCACAATGAAATTGAATTTGCCCGAAAAAAGTTGTCAATGCTGAACAAATTTAAATAAAAATTCTGACATTAATGCAACGATATTTTTTTATTTCTCTTCGTTTTGTAGACCACAAAAAAACCACATCATCCGCACAAGCAACATCCTCATCACCAGGAACAAGAAAAAGAACACCAGTCATCACATAAATTGTTGCAAAATGGAACGAAACGTCAAAGGCGAACTTTAAGTAATTGTGGCACCAAGGAACCAAGACGACGCATAGAAGCACGTCTCGTGGAATGGCAACCACAAGGCAAGGTGAGTGGGTGGATGGATGCAAAATGTTTGGGATTTTTCTTTGAATGACAATTTGTAGGTTGTTTTATTTTAATGTCATTGTGTGTTCTGGATTTGTAGTCGGAAGCAATAGAGAGTAGTATTTCCGCTCATGGAAGGCTGATAGTTCTTCTTTTAGAAATATTAATGAGGTTGGAAATGGGAAAGATATTTTTCAAGGACTTTTCCAAGTCCATGTTTTGCTATTGTCCCTTTTAATAGTACCTGTACAATGTACGGTATTTTAAGGATGTCATACACGTTTTTCTATCGGTTTTTCTCTAATTTTATAGTTTAGTTTTACGCCATATATTTCTATAAGGAAAATATATAGCTTTGAAGAAAATCTGAATGCAATTTGAAATATATTGCCCCCATGACGACCAGAACGATATACGTGGATGTTTCAAATATATTTTTTAAAGGCCCATTAAGACTAGATTTTTTATACCCTCCACCATAGTATGGAGGGTATATTAGTTTTGTTTTTCCGTTTGTAACGCATCGAAATAATCATTTCCGACCCTATAAAGTATATATATTCTTGATCAGCGTAAAATTCTAAGACGATCTAAGCATGTCCGTCTGTCCGTCTGTTGTAATCACTCTAGCGTCTAAACGAGTTGAGATAGATCGCCAAAATTTTGCACAGAGTCGTCTTTTGTCTGCAGGCAGGTCAAGTTCGAAGATGGGATATATCGGTCCACGTTTAGGCATAGCTCCCATATAAGGGTACCCCCCAATTTTCGGTATTTTGGGGTTCTTGAGCGCGTCTTTCAACCGAATTCGCTGAAATTTGGTATATTGAGTTGCTATTGGGTACCCAATTTCTCCACAAAAAATTATACATATAGATCCATTTTTTCTGGTAGCCCCCATATAACGCTACCCTCTAATTTTCAGTATTTTGGGGGTTTTGATCGTAGTTTTCAACCGAATTGGCTGTAATTTAGTACTTTGAGTTCTTATTGGGTACCAAATCACTCCACTAAAAATTATAAATATAGGTCCATTTTTTCTGGTAGCCCCCATATAAGGGTACCCCCCAAATGTCGGTATTTTGGGGTTCTTGAGTGCGTTTTTCAACCGATTTCGCTGAATTTTGGTACATTTGGTTCCTATTAGGTGCCAAATATCTCCACCAAAAATTATACATATAGGTCCAAATTTTCTGGTAGGCCCTATATAACGGTACCCTCTAATTTTCAGTATTTTGGGGGTTTTGATCGTAGTTTTCAACCGAATTGGCTGTAATATAGTACTTTGAGTTCTTATTGGGTACCAAATCACTCCACTAAAAATTATAAATATAGGTCCATTTTTTCTGGTAGCCCCCATATAAGGGTACCCCCGAAATGTCGGTATTTTGGGGTTCTTGAGTGCGTTTTTCAACCGATTTCGCTGAAATTTGGTACATTTGGTTCCTATTAGGTGCCAAATATCTCCACCAAAAATTATAAATATAGGTCCAATTTTTCTGGTAGCCCCACTATAAGGGTACCCCCAACTTTCGCTATTTTGAGGTTCTTGAGCACGTTTTTCAACCGAATTCGCTGAAATTTGGTATTTTGTAATCGAATATGGTAACAAATTTCTCTACAAAAATGTTTTAATATGCACCGCCTTTTTGGGGTAGCCCCATATAACCCCTTTTTATACCCTCCACCATAGTATGGAGGGTATATTAGTTTTGTTTTTCCGTTTGTAACGCATCGAAATAATCATTTCCGACCCTATAAAGTATATATATTCTTGATCAGCGTAAAATTCTAAGACGATCTAAGCATGTCCGTCCGTAGTTATGCAATTTGTTCCGCGTTTTGGGTTTGGTTCTAAGACTATGTTGTAACTATATCACCTATGTAGGATATCGAGATAAAAAACTAGAACGTAAGGTTCGATAATGAACGTAAGATTCGATAATATATGAACTTTAACACGTATTTAAACCTAGCCCCTGTGTGGGAGGTACCAGAAGGAGTGGACCGATATTCCCCATCTTCGAATTTGAACTAAGTTTGGAAGAAATAATAAGATTGGCAAAGTTTGAATGAAATGTAAATTTTCTGAAACGGATTTGTATTATAGTTTACATAGAAATGTCGGTATAGGTCCACTTTTTGGTATGTTCCCATATTTTCATTTCTAGTACCTGTCAGTATATCTATGGTGGAGGGTATCCAAAGTTCGGCCCGGCCAAACTTAACGCTTATTCACTTGTTAAATATAATTTTTCAAGCATTTAAATATATATTCTTAAGGACTATCAGGACCATAAATATATTGTTATCTAAAGCATCAGCAGAATTTTTTTATAAGTGTGAACAATAAGCGTTCATTTTAATATATATTTTCTCAAAGACTATCAGGACTATAAATATATTTTTATCTACAGGATCAGCAGGATTTTTTATAAATGTGGATTATAAGCGTCCATAGTCCTTATAGTCCTGACGGCCCAAGGGTAGACTATAAGCTGTACAAATGTATTTTTCCAAGAACCGTCAGGATTTAAAAAGAAAATATTTTTTTGCATATTTTTATAAATATGTGACCTAAGGACCATCAGGACTATATGCGTGGACATTTTCAAAATAGTTTGTCAAGGACGATCAGAACTATAAGCATGGAAGTTTTTAAAAAGATTTTCTCAAGGACCATCAAGGTTATAAGTGTGGGTTTTTTAAATATAATTTTTAAATACCATCAGAACTAAACTCCTTTATATATATATATATATATATATATATTTCTCAAAAGACCATGAGGACTATAGGCATGGATCTTTTAAATATGTTTTCTCAGGGACCATCATGACTACAAGCGTGAATTTTTACATATATTTTAAGGAGGATAATTGTAAAATTTTTAAATATATTTTCTGAAGAACCATTAGGACTATAATTACCATCAGGACGATAAGCGCAGTACTATAAATATTTTTATATCTACAGGATCAGCAGGATTTTTTTATAAATGTGGACTATAAGCGTCCATAGTCCTGACGGCCCAAGGGTAGACTATAAGCTGTACAAATGTATTTTCTCAAGGACCGTCAGGATTTAAAAAGAAAATATTTTTTGCATATTTTTTTATAAATATGTTTCCTGAGGATCATTAGGTATATATGCGTGGATATTTTCAAAATATCAAATCAGTACTATAAGCATTGATTTTTTAAAAAAGATTTTCTCAAGGACCATCAGTGTTATATGTGTGGATTTTTTTAAATATAATTTTTAAAGGCCATCAGAACTAAACTCGTTTTTATATATTTCTCTAAGGAACATCAGGACTATAAGCGCGGACCTTTTGAATAAATTTTCTCAGGGACCATCAGGACTATAAGCGTGAATTTTTAAATATATTTTCATGAGAATAATTGTATTTTTTTTTTTAATATATTTTCTGAAGAACCATTAGGACTATAAATACCATCAGGACGATAAGCGCAGATTTTTTAAATATATTTTCGTAGATTTTTTTAAATAGATTTTCTTAAGGACCATCAGGACGATAAGCGTAGATTTTTTAAATAAATTTTCTTAAGGACCATCAGGACGATAAGCGTAGATTTTTTAAATAAATTTTCTTAAGGACCATCAGGACGATAAACGCAGATTTTTTAAATAAATTTTCTTAAGGACCATCAGGACGATAAGCGTAGATTTTTTAAATAAATTTTCTTAAGGACCATCAGGACGATAAGCGTAGATTTTTTAAATAAATTTTCTTAAGGACCATCAGGACGATAAGCGTAGATTTTTTAAATAAATTTTCTTAAGGACCATCAGGACGATAAGCGTAGATTTTTTAAATAAATTTTCTTAAGGACCATCAGGACGATAAGCGTAGATTTTTTAAATAAATTTTCTTAAGGACCATCAGGACGATAAGCGTAGATTTTTTAAATATATTTTCTTAAGGACCATCAGTGGATTTTTTCAAAGATCACCAGGACGATAAGCGTAGATTTTTTAAATATATTTTCTTAAGGACCATCAGTGGATTTTTTCAAAGATCACCAGGACGATAAGCGTAGATTTTTTAAATATATTTTCTTAAGGACCATCAGTGGATTTTTTCAAAGATCACCAGGACTAGAAGTGTACATTTTTTAAATATATTTTTTTCAAAGTCTTGATAATCTTGATATCTTGATCTCCATTTATTGAATATATTGGCAGATTTACAAGCGATTTTAAGAAAACTGTTCCAAGATGTATAGGAATATTTTTGTAAATAATAATTTTCGAAGGACTTTAGACTTTGGTTATTTTAAGAATATTTATGGAAGGATTTTAGCCCTGGAGTTTTTAAGAATATTTTTCAAAGGGCTACCAGATTTTTAATATCGTACGATTTTTAGACATGATTATACCCTTCACCACACTGTGGTACAGGGTATTATGTCTTTGTGCATATGTTTGTAACATGCAAAAAGAAACGAGGTAGACACATGGTTCCTTTTGAGAATATGCATAGAATCACTTTCAACGTCGATTTATGCATTTCCGTCCGTCTGTCCATGTTAAATAGTAAACAAAGTTCGTATTTTTGATTCGAATTGTATGAAATTTGGCACAGCTCATTTATTTGGCCCAAGAACGAACCCTACAGACATTGGGAAAATTGGTTCAGATTCAGATATAGCTCCCATATATAATTACGTCCGATTTAACGTAAATGGTGTACCATTTACGTTAATTTCGTGCAAATCTTTCAATTTGCACGAAATTTGGCATAACATACTAAATTAAGTCTATAGTGATGTGTGTTAAGTTTTGTGAAAATCCGTTCAGATTTAGATATAGCTCCCATATATATTTTCGTCCGATTTTAGGTAAATAGTGCACCAAAGTCCCTATATATCCTTCGATTTGCACGAAATTTGGCATAGCGTACCGAAGAAGGTCTAGAACGATGTGTGTTAAATTTCGTGAAAATTGGTCAGATTTACATATAGTTGCCATATATATTTTCGTCCGATTTAAGGTAAATGGTGGACCAAAGTACCTATATATCTTTCGATTTTCACGAAATTTGGCATAGCGTGCTTAGTAAAGTCTAGAATGATGTGTGTTCAGTTTTGGGAAAATCGGTTAAGATTTCGATATAGCTCCCATATATATTTTCTTCCAATATTAGACTCAATTCAGTTCGCTATGCCAAATTTCATGTAAATGGAAGGATATGTTGGTACTTTGGTGCACCAAATAATCAACGGGTGTCTAATTAAGAGAACACCCCCCGATAGCTATACACTCACAGAGAAACGTCCCAAAATTTGGAATCGATCGGATTATTAGTTTTTGAGTTATCGTTTTGAGCGGACACGATAACTCAAAAACTAATAATCCGATCGATTCCGAATTTTGGGACGTTTCTCTGTGAGTGTATAGCTATCGTATGAACTCGGATAAATCAAATCGGTCGAGATCTTCCTTATTTTTTAACTTGGTTTGTGGTAAAATATGCGATTTTTCAAAAATATTCTTTTTAAGTCCGCCATTTTGTTGATTTTTGAGCGAAGCCAATAATCCTACTTCATATGAGAGCCAGACATGTACCCTTTCTAACACGGTTGGAATTTTCGGATTCCGATATTCCAGTAAGGCGCGCCATAAAAAATAAGGACTTCATTCAATCACCAAAAAAAAAAAAAAAAAACAACAATTAAATTATTTTTCTTCTTTTTTAAATCTTCAACTGTATATGTGTAAAATTACAAACCTTAACATGCATTGGTATTCATTTACCAGCCCATTGAAAATCTTGAAAATATAAAATCGAGAAAATATAAAAACACTGCTTCGAGAAATGCGTTTAAAGTTTGAGAATCACTCTTGCCGTCACTTGATGCTGACACAATAAATGGACTATAGAGATTTCCACTTGAAATTTTGTAGGGACCTTCTTGAATTAGTGTAGATTCAAAAAACTAAATAAAATGTTTTGACCACGAGTATGGGGGGGGGTCCCCTTAAGATTAAATTTTGAACAGTGCAGGATATGAAAAGGCGACGTCTGTTAGGATACATATGACAAATATACCCAAAGTGGTGAAGGGTATCATATAGTCGGCCTAGTCCGACTTTACTACTTTCTTTACAGGTTTTGAAAATCTATAAGCATTAATATTTTTCCATGGACTAAAACATCTTGAATTTAATTTTAAACCCTAAATATGTATTTTCTTTAATTACCGAATATTTTTGTATAAAATTTAGTTTTAGTATGAAAATAGAACGAGATACAGAAATAAAATAATTTTTCAATAATTGGATTCTATGATTAGGCTATCAGATATATAAGATTGAATTTAAGTACTAGAAGATCTTTTGACGTGGATTTTTTTAAAATATTTATCATAGGACTTCCAGATCCATATAGCTTTATTTTTACCAGTAAATTTTAACGTTTTTTTATAAAATTTAATTTCCATCTTCCTCCATTACAGTTAAAAATTCAAGGTGGACGTAAAATAAGACGTCTACATCATCAGCAGCCACATTTCAAATATGAGACAACGACAGCGGATGTAAAACATCAGGAATACCATAAACATCAAATAAAAAATCACCAACAACAGCATTCAGCATTTAACAACAGAAATGGCAGCAGCAGCAACAATAACAGCCGCAACAATTATATATCAAACCAACGCAATTCTGGCCCAGTAACACCATCCGCAATTAACTTGGCACCTCAACAGCAACACAGACAGCAACATCACCACACAACCCAACAACATCAATCCCAGCAACACCATCAACAACAACAACACTCACAACGACGCATGAAACGTTCAATTAGCAGCCCACGTCATGTTGAAACTCTAATTGTTGCCGATTCGACAATGGTTAACTTTCATAATGAGGTAGAGACGTATCTTTTGACCATCATGAATATGGTCTCAGCCCTATACAAAGATCCCAGTATTGGTAATGCCATTGAAATCGTGGTGGTGAAAATAATCCTGCTCGAAGAGGATGAAGCACAACCAGATTTGAATTTAACACAGAATGCACAACAGAATTTGGATATGTTCTGTAGGTGAGTAGTTTTTCTACAACTACTAATACAAGGTGGTAGTGGAGACCACAACAACAATAAAATACGAATATGTTTATACGATTTTGCATATTTCATTTACATACAATTCAATTCACAGTGTTTAGAAGCAGCACGGTTGGCAGGAGATTATATTAGCTCGTGTTTTTAATAATGTTTTCCAAGTCCTTTTAGAGCAATTTGCATGGATTTTTAAATGTATTATTAAGTTATTTTCATGGACTATTACAAACGTGATTTAATAAGAATATTTTTCCACAAATATCGGAGCCTAAGCTGAATTTTTATACCCTACACAAATATGCTGTGAGGGTATCATAGCTTTGTGCAGCCCCAAGAGTTTGTAACTCCGCGAAGTATTGGTCCTAGACCCGCCTTTGGGTATACCCATCATCATATCTCGACGAGTCGATCTAGAGTGGTGTGTCCGTCCGTCTGTTCATTATAATTTATAAACACGATAGAGGCCACAGTTATGGACCAATCTTCACGAAACTTTGCATGGAGGATGGGTTCTGGCCAATGAAGACCCATATTGTTTTTGGTAATAATCCGTTAATATTTAGCGGAGAAAATGGGCCAAAAACTTTATTTTGGTCTGTTGAAAACCGTATACAGTGTTTCTAGTCTTCTTGCGAAAAATTACAAAATTTTGTATTCTGAAGCACATAGATATACAATCAACTTCTTGATAATTGATACCAATTATATTGTTGTATGTACTCGGATGTCTGAGTTGTCTAGGTGTTATGATATTGCTTAGTATTAAGGGAACCCCCCCCCCCCCCCCCCATTCTCGATTTTTTATTTTTAAGATTTTAAATGGGCTGGTAAATGAATACCAATGCTTGTTAAGGTTTGTAACTTTGCACATATATATTTGAAGATTTAAAGAGGAAGAAAAATAATTTACAAAAAAATTTTGTTGTTGTTTTGTTGTTGTTTTTTGTGATCAAAGAAAAGTCCTTATTTTTGATGGCGGGCATGATAACTCCTCACTGGAACATCGGAATCCGAAAATTCCAACGGTGTTAGAAAGAGTACATGTCTGGCTCTCGTATGAACTAGGATTATTGACTTCGCTCTAAAATTAACAAAATGGCGGACCTTTGAAAAAATATTTTTGGAAAATCGCCGGTTTTTTACCAAAAACCAAGTTAAAAAATAAGGAAGATCTTCACCGATTGGCTTTATCCTAGTTCATACGATAGCTATACACTCACAGAGAAACGTGTAAAAATTTGAAATCGATTGGGTTATTAGTTTTTGAGTTATCGTGCCCGCCATTCGCAAAAAAATGTTTAGAGAAAAACGCGTTTAAAGTTTGAGAAGCCCTTCAGCCGTCACTTGATGCTGACACAATAAATCGGCTATATCTTCAAGAGTTCTTGAGATTTTTACTTGAAATTTTGCAGGGACATTCTTGAATTAGTGTAGATTGGAATTAAGTCAACAAAAATTTTGACCCCGAGAATGGGGGGGTCCCCTTAATATTACCCCACTAGAGGGCGGAAATGTCGCGCTTTGAAATTCTACATGAAGTCCGGGTTATGATCAAGGCCGATGCCTATAATGTTCGGTAATGCTAAGATGATATTTAGGCGTTGCAATGAACCAACAACTTTATTTTTGTCAGATTTACTAGTCGCTCTAGAGGCTATTATTGTATACAGAACGTCAGATATTTTTTACGGTTAAGGGGATCTGACTAAATATTTAGAACGGCTGTTTAGATGATGATCGGCCAATATTCCGAGGGTCAAATCAACTAAAACCTAAAGTGACAAAATTTTATCGCGAATTATTGCCAGGCTCAGAATATAGAACTGCAGACAGTTAGATTTTTGTGTAGTTGTGTAGGGTATCAAGTGGTCGGTTTTTTCGAATATATTGCTGCTCTCGCTGATTTTTATAGTAGGTTGGGGGAAAAGAAAACCATTATATTTATATGAACTGTAGGGCTTTATTTAACATGCTTCAGAATGTCCGATTTGGACCAAATATGCACTGTTTTGATTTGTTGCCATTTTAAAAGTAACTTCATAATGCCTCTCTCATAGAAGTCTAGTAGTCGATTTTCACAATCCTCCCTAAATACTTTTTTTATCAGTAAAGAAATTCTGCAATGAAAAAAAAAATATAATCGCTTTGTGCCAATTCCAGATTGTATGACGGATACATTAAAACTTCCCAACCTAGCTCCCGAAGTTTCTGCCGAGTCACTGTAGGTGTGTGTGGCCTAGCGTTTTCCTGGTGGAACACGACACCTCTCCTGTTGGCCAATTCTGACCGTTTCTGGTCAATTGCTATCTTCAAACGGTCCAGTTGACACCTGACCTGTTAGCCCATTCTGGCCGTTTCTGGTCAATTGCTATCTTCAAACGGTCCAGTTGTTGACAATAGAGATCAGAATTTAGCGTTTGGTCATATGGATGTAACTCATAAAAAATAATCCCCGTTGCAATCCCACCAAATGCATAGCAGAACCGTCCGCGCCGTTAGTCTGTTAGTTTAGCCACCGTTTGAGGTGATTCACCACACTTTGACCACGATCGTTTTTGCACAGGGTTATCGTATGTAATCCATTTCTCATCTCCAGTCACCATCCGTTTAATAAATGGGATCTATCTCATTCCGTTTGGCAAAGTATTCGCAGATGGAAATTCGATCCATCCTACTTTTTTCTGTTAATCGGTGTGACACCCAAACATAGAGCTTCTTTTTGAATCCAGCTTTGTGTAAATGGTTTAAAACAGTTTTATGGTCGATTTTTAGCTTCTGGTCGAAGTTACGACTGCTAACATGTCGGTCAACTTCGATCATTTCTCCGATTTCAACGACATTCATAATGGATTTCTTTTTCCCAACCTAATATAACAGGCTGTGCATAATTAGCTTCAGAGAGGACATTCCATTCGCCTGATATTCCTATCAAATAATATCAATGTGGGCCAATGTGTCAAGGCAGACCCCCTGGAGGCCTTTTTCATTTTTGAATTCGCTAAATTGATATTTTAGCCTAGGTTTTAGTATAGTCGGATAGTTCCCATCGATGTTGCTGTAATTTGACATTATGGATTATTGGAGGATGAAAAACATTTCTGCAAAACAATTTCGACATAGGTCAACGTTTTTTATACTCCATATAATGGTACCACCCCATTTTCGTTATTTGGTTATTTTTAAAATAATATCTTCCTTAGTCTGAACTCAATCCACTGTATCCTATTTCCATTCATTTATTTATAGCCATGTCATGTCAGACAGGCATCATCTGTGTTTAGACATCGGTAAATTGTACGTTTCCTCACTTCAAGATATAGTCATGGGGTGTGAGTGTGCGTACAATTTACTTTTTTTGCATTTGTTCGTTTGTATGACATTTGTATATCCGCGTGCTTTTTTGTTGTTCCTGTCCATACGCCTGCGCGTACATTTTAGGCGCCAGCAACTTAACGCGTCATTTCAATGCTTTTCAAGTTTGGCTGCGTGATACTGTCAAAATAAGATAAGATAATTTAATGTCTAGACATATGGATTTGTGTTCTTGTTTGGTACTCTTATTAGGTTTTGGGACAAAAATCCTCAGGAAGTCATTTGTTGGGATTCAATGGAATGGAATTATTTAAAAATA